CACAACCCTCAACAGCTTCACCATCTTCTTAGCAAAAGTTTCAAAACTTGATCTTTACAACTAGTTTCAAATGGATCAAATTGAGGTTCCACCATATTTTCTTTGCCCCATCACGCTTGAGATCATGAAAGACCCTGTGACGGTCTCAACGGGCATAACATATGATCGAGAAAGTATAGAGCAATGGTTGTTTTCTAGGAATAATAGTACCTGCCCGGTTACGAAACAAGTTATTTCGGATTCAGAATTGGCTCCAAACATCACTGTTCGACGACTTATTCAATCGTGGTGTGTCCTCCACGCGTCCCATGGCATTGAAAGATACCCTACGCCGAAGGCTCCCATCAGCAAACCACAACTCCTGAAGATTTTCAAAGATGCAAAGTCTTCACAAATGCAAATGAAATGTCTCCAGATATTGAAATCCATAGCTTTTGAAAATGAATCAAATAAAAGATGCATGGAGAAAGCAGGAACTGCAGAATTCTTAGCTTCATTGCTTGTTAAGAAAATCATGGAAGAATCTTCAATTGAAGAATCAGAAGATTTATCTGAATCGACAAGAATTATTGATGAAGCTTTAACCATTCTTGTTCATCTCCAATTATCCGAATCCTGTCTAAAGTCCCTTTTAAAGAACAACGGCAATCAATTCATCGAGTCCTTAACGCATATCATTCAGAGTAGGAGGTATAAATCTCGAGCTTATGCTGTTATGCTACTGAAATCCATGTTTGAAGTAGTTGAAGATCCAACACTGTTGGCCATCCTAAAACCCCAATTCTTCATCGAATTAGTCCAAATCTTGAAAGATCAGATTTCTCTAAAGGCCTCAAAATCCTCTCTGAAAATTCTTACCATTGTCTGTCCATGGGGAAGAAACAAGATCAAAGCGGTGGAAGCAGGAGCAGTGTCTTCATTAATCGACCTTTTACTCGACACTACAGACAAAAGGGCTTGTGAAATGATGCTAACGATGTTGGATTTTCTATGCCAATGTGCAGAAGGAAGAGCAGAATTATTAAAGCACAGTGCAGGATTGGCCATCGTATCAAAGAAAATACTCAGGGTTTCACAAGTTGCAAGTGAAATGGGAGTTAGAATTTTACATTCGATTTCGAAATTCTCTGCAACTCATGCAGTTCTTCAAGAAATGTTGCAGATTGGTGTTGTGACAAAGCTGTGCTTTGTGCTTCAAGTTAATTGTGGAACCAAAACAATACAGAGAGCAGGAGACATACTTAAACTGCACGCCAGATCATGGAAGAGCTCTCCATGTGTGCCCATGGAGTTGCTTGCTTCTTGTCCATCTAGATCTAGGGATGGAATTAGGGTATAGATAAAAGTGCTTGAGCACATAATCGAATTTAGTTAGGATATATATAAAGTTGAAATTACCTCATGGTTAAGAAACTTGGCCATATGCAGAAACTTTTTGAAAAAAAATTCTTCCAACTTTAATTTTTTGAGTATTGAAACAGTTTGTGGAGTCAGTGATTCTTGCAGTCAAGGATTTTGTTTCTATATTGAATTCACCCCTGTTTACAGTATAGATGTTGTTGTAATTGAGTAATCAATAATCAAAACGCTCTCTAAGAAAAGACATGCCCTAAATCCAATCAAGTTTGGACATAAACACTTTTAATACATAATTGATGCATATTTATGACAAGATCTATTATTTAATTGAATTAATATTCTAAATTGAATAATATAATCAGTAGATTCAAATCTTGGTAATTTGTTAATCACAAATAGTTGTGATTATGAGATACAAATTATATATGATTGAATTTTAAATCGTCCGTGGTCATATTTAATAATGAGACATGAATATCGTTATTACGGATAGACGATGCGTGTGGCATTTCTTAATATATGTGTGTGTGTGTGTGTGTGTGTGTGTGTGTGTGTGGATGTTTTATTATAGAGCATTAGAGACCTGCTTGGAAAATTCCACATGGATAACTATTTAAGTGTCGGTGGTTAATCTCTAACATTTCGTAGTGGAATTCGTCCTTGGATTTGAGGTAATCCTAGTGCTTTATATGAGAACATTCATAATTTGGTAATATTAGATGTTGCTCTGCCAATGGTAGCTAATACGGTATTGTTCGAGTATGTCAAGAATTATATGAAAGTTGTGAATGATCAATAGAAGATTCATTACTCTTAGATAGTAAGAGATTATGATTTACATTTCATTCAGTTAAGTCAATAATGAAATCATTGGCCAATGTGTGCTCATAAATCGAAAATGAGTTTTCGACTTACATTGACTTAATTGTGTGATGAAAGATATGATTGATAATTGAGATTGACACACATCCATATCTCATAATTGATCGGATCATATTGATAATGGGATTATAGTTTCACGGTAAACTAACAAGTTTTGTTTTGGCATACCACGTGACATTTCACATCACATGTATTGTCTGACACATTGTTAGATGTCAATTTGAGATAACAAATGTGAATTGGTGATATATTAAAATGTGTATTTTTAATTTATTAATTTTAGTTAGATCAAAATAATAATTCACGTCGTTAGGTATCGTGATCGGGAACCTGAAGAGTCACACACAAAAGGAGAACTAGAAGAATGAAATTTTAATTAATTAATTAACAAGTGTTGTACAATTAATTAATTGAGTTGTTTGTTAATAGACCCGATTTTAATGAATTGGATTAATTAAATATTGGACCTAGTTAAATTTAAGAGATGGGCTAAGCCCACTTGAACTTATATTAATAAGTCATTAGGGTTTCAGAACAGAATAGAAAATAACTCATTATATTGCTAACACAAGAAAAGAGAAACATTTATTATCTCATTCTTATTCCTTGTGTAGATTTTCATTGGAGGCTGGACAATTAGACAAATGTAGATTGCAGTTCAAAATTGTTCGTGTTCGAAAATCAGCAAAATATGTTGCAGAATTGATTTAACGGTATTATTTTAAACAAAATTTCTATCAAAACACAAAGCAAATTCATTGTGAGAATTGAAGTGTGATTTTTATTTTTTTGTGCATGTTAAGTAAATTTCCAACAAATATATCGAATTTTACGTTAATTCAATTAAGTTATATCGCTTATTCCAATGTTTATCAGTGGTGGTATACAATCAATTTCCACACTAATGAAAATCTTTATACTGGAGTTTTTTTCCTAAAACTTTTAGATGAAATAGTTCAACACGTATCACAACAACTGTAGCTACCGCTCCTAAAGATTTTGCAGGTATTGTTCATTTGATAAACATTAAATTGAGTTTGCACATGAAGACGTGTTGAAGACTAAACTTTAAAAAGTAGATACGTGTTATTTTTAATAACCTAAACTTTTAGACAAAATTGATTAGCAAAAATGTCAATTAAATTTTCCAAGAGTGACTAAAATTGTTCAAAATAAGAATAAGGATTGAACGGGAAAATAGTATATGTATGCATTAAATATGGAGATATGTGGATATGGCGTAACACGTACTCATTTGACTAATCTTTTAATTAATTTAGAAAGTATTATTTGATTATCTCGTCAAACAAGGATGATTGGTGGGGATTATTTCTGGGATCATGGGCTTCTTGGATCATATTATGCACTGAATTTTATGTTGGTTTTCCAATTTTCATGCAACATTATCAACTTCAACACATTATTTTAAAGCATAATTATCTTGGTTACGCTGGTATACACGTTACAATTATGCCACGTTTTGACGTTCTTAAAAATCAAAATTTTAACCGCTTTTGATAAAAGTTAACAAAATGTACAATTAAAAAATTGTAGGTCCTGTGAAAATATGTGATTAAACTTAATATTGACTTTTACTTAAATTTAAGTTACTCCAAACATGGGCCATATTTAATTAGACTATACGATGAACACGTTTAAGAGGTGATAACTGCGGATGTCCTCTGAGAAATCATCCGCTTTAAGCATTGCAGTACTCTCTTCAACTATCCTATCCTCCATTCATACCATGACCGAGCAAACTAACGATGAGGGCTGTTTTGCAGAATTTGAGAGAAGCTCGAAACTTGTCTAAGAATCATCATGGATACATCAATAGTATTTATGCAACATGTTAATTACACTCTAACATTGTTTAATTTTCAATGGAGCCAATGTGTCTCTATCTTTATGTTTGGTGTTAGCTATACATAACAGGGTATAGCCTCCCTCCCCGTGCTAGATTGAACCTACAAGCAAGTTGATTTACGCACAATGTTGAAAACTAAACAAAAAATAGAGGAATGATAATTATATCGGGGGGTTGACAACCTCCCTGACCAGCCCCTCACAACAGTGGGGGGCCGGTCAGGGGGGTTGTCAACCCCCCCTCCCGGCGAGTAAACCATAGCTTTTCTCCAAAAAATATAAGCATAGGAGGGAGACATTGGACCAAACCTCGAGTCCATGGACAAACTAAAGACTTGACCTGAGTTCAAATCTTCTAATAGTGCATTTTCTTAAATTGTGCACAGTGCATTTTAATAAGGGATCATGCTACAAGTATATAATCATTTACATAATACATTACATAATTGACATGTGGTGCGCATATCTTGGTAGTCTATAATTTTTAACTTTTCCACACTTCAAATCCATGGCCGGATTTTTTCCACATGAGCCTGTATAATTCATTATGTACAATAATTATCTACACATAGATTTATCCTTTTAATAAATGAATCCAACATACACATCAGTCGCGCATCGGTTCAATAATTAAAAACCAGCGGGCCCTCCCTTGCTATCCCTATCAATACAGACTGCAAGGCAAACCTAGCACTTTGGGAGGTTTTTATCAGACCCCTACCCCTGAATCCCGTTTGCTGCCATGAAAGAATTGTGTAAATCTGGTGCAGGTTTTATAGATATTCTTATTGTATTTGATTACAAATTTAGAAGTAGTATATATATTTATAGTAATTTTAACCTATACAAAAATATATAACAAGAAAGTTGTATAAAAGGAACCTCATCAAGATTTAAGGCCTGAAAATGGCTTCAAGATTCAACATGCTAAATGGGTTCCCATTTTCATTCAGCTGTTCTGAATCTTGTTCAATCCCTGCCGTTTGAGCACTTGACTGAAATACGTGATTTGGCAACATTAAGTCAAAGCTGGACCCCACCATCCCTTCAGAAGTTTCTACATCTTCACCAGGCAATGGTGGCAATGGAGAATTGTTCATCAGGTCGTTCATACTAGTAATTAACTGATGATCAGTTTTATATTGAAACTTCTGATCAAATGAGTCGAGCCCACAAAAATATCTTGCACTTCCATTGCCCGCATGAATCTCTAATGACTTATCAGAAAGAATCTCGCATCCACTCTGTTGACCTAAACCAGCTGCCATGTAGTCGAAAGACGGAATACCTGTTGAAGACGATTTAGATAAACAAGTTTATCGACTTTCTAACAGCTTAATGACGCGGTTCCTTGAATCAGTTGTTGCCATCACTTATTTATGAAATTATGCACGTGTAAAACACAAGATTGAAATAAATAAATGTGTCCCTGTTTAACAACTAAGTTTTTAGATGAAGTGATTAGATGTACCATCATATAACAATCCGGGAATATCTACGTGCAGCTCTGGTTGTGGCTTCTGATTAAGGAAATTAGCATAAACTGCGGCAAGATCAATACTGGTTGAGACACCTGGCCCAGGATCTGAGCTACTAGATACAAGCATTGCTCCATTATTACCTGAACTTCTACAAGAGACACCACCCGTGGACAAAGATGTGCGTATGGACTTACCTCGTCTGCTCCTCCGGCAACCGCCGCCGACGGGAACATTCCGGAGGGACCCACCTTTAGTCCAGTACCTCCTACAACCTTTGCAGAAGTACCTCGGTTGTGTCAAGCTGTAATTGTTGTAGTAACAAAACTTGGTGTTTGAAGAACCACAACGAGGACAGGCTGGTGACACATCAACATTAGGTTTCCATCCCCTGTCCATCCCAAGAAATCTTGAAATTCATAAGCTCTCTAAAAGAATAAAAACTCTCTCTCTCTCTCTCTCTCTCTCTCTAAAATTTACTGTGCATATATATAGAGAGAGAGAATGCACATGAATACAATATCTCGGTGCACGTGTGCATGGAATAGGTAGCCTATGGTTACTGAGCCGTAGGCTAATACCAAGGGTCGGTGTTTCCTGAACGTATCGCTGTATGGCCTGGGGGCAAGGTCCTCCATAGGGAAAATTGGTTTGGTTTTAAAAATTCTGACGGTAGATCAGTATACGGATAACAAGATTGTTCATATTAAGAAACATAGGATTATTTTATTTTATTGTTTAATAAGGATAGAGTAGTATTTTTAATTTCTTTTGTTTAACCTATATATAGTCTCTTGATTTTTAGATTAAATCATCTTTTTGTATTCAATTGCATTATTCCCTTGTCTGGGACGACTTTTAGAATCCAAGAAAATTGCTTTGTTGACCGATATTTTCCAGCAAGAGGGTCCCAAATAAAGATAGAAAGTCAAAGAAATACGGCTACCTCATCTTTTGAAAAACAATTAAAATTGGCTGAAAATGAACTCCAGACAGAATCTATGAAGAATTAATGAAATCCTAACATCCTCTTCCTTTTCTCTATTTCTTTAGATTGTTTAACATGGTATCAAAACCAAGTTTCATGGGACAAGGCTTAATCTCAAACACAACTTTCGTGAATCCAACTCCGCGGTGAGTTGGCTGGGGGTTGCAGGGGGCAGCCCGCCCCTACCGGGGTTCGGGGCAGAGACGATTTCGAGAGAGTTTTTATTCAGTTTCTGTAATTTGGTATTTCGTTTTCCTTTCTTCTGTAAATTCATAAGCTCTCTAAAAGAATTCAAATCTCTCTCTAAAATTTACTGTGCATATATATAGAGAGAGAGAATGCACATGAACACAATATCTCGGTGCACGTGTGCATGGAATAGGTAGCCTATGGTTACTGAGCCGTAGGCTAATACCAAGGGTCGGTGTTTCCTGCACGTATCGCTGTATGGCCTGGGGGCAAGGTCCTCCATAAGGAAAATTGGTTTGGTTTTAAAAATTCTGACGGTAGATCAGTATATGGATAACAAGATTGTTCACGTTAAGAAACATAGGATTATTTTATTTTATTATTTAATAAGGATAGAGTAGTATTTTTAATTTCTTTTGTTTAACCTATATATACTCTCTTGATTTCTAGATTAAATCATCTTTTTGTATTCAATTGCATTATTCCCTTGTCTGGGACGACCTTTAGAATCCAAGAAAATTGCTTTGTTGACCGTTATTTTCCAGCAAGAGGGTCCCAAATAAAGATAGATAGTCAAAGAAATACGGCTACCTCATCTTCTAAAAAACAATTAAAATTGGCTGAAAATGAACTCCAGACAGAATCTATGCAGAATTAATGAAATCATAACCTCCTCTTCCTTTTCTTTATTTCTTTGGATTGTTTAACATGGTATCAAAGCCAAGTTTCATGGGACAAGGCTTAATCTCAAACACAACTTCCGTGAATCCAACTCCGCGGTGAGTTGGCTGGGGGTTGCAGGGGGCAGCCCGCCCCCTGCCGGGGTTCGGGGCAGAGACGATTTCGAGAGAGTTTTTATTCAGTTTCTGTAATCTGGTATTTCGTTTTCCTTTCTTCTGCGATCTGATTTTTTTTTTT